GTTTTTATAAATAAAGTTACCCTTTTATATATTTATAATAATTTATTTAGAAAACAAATTCATAAAATTTAAAATAATAATATTTAAAAAGTAAAATGAGATAAAAAAATTAACAAAGTATTTATTGACTCTCTTAAAATGATAACTGAATTGGAAGAGATATTTTTAAAGAAAAATAAAATCTACTTAATCAATCTTGAATAAAAATATTAAATAAAAGACAAAAAGAAAAGGCTATAAAAATAACTTTAGAATATCAAAAAAAGATTTATTTTAATATTAACATTAGCAATAAAATAAAGGATAACAATAATAATAAATATTTTATTATTATAAAATAAATAATCATTTTGCATATGTCTTTCCTCTTAAAGACAAAAAAGCAGAATCTATTTTAAGTTATCTATAGAGAGGGTCTAGCAATTCGATTTAGATCTTTATATTTATGTGTAATCAATCTATTACAATAAAATGTGATATCTTTAATCCCATATTTTATTTTTTATTTATTTGAAAGAAAACCATATTTTGCAAGTTAGTTAGCGATTTCAAAAATTTTTTGAATCAAGAGAATACTCTTTAAATCCATAGGCTAAAAATAAAAATTTTATTGTACCCTTATTTTTTAAAAAAATTGAAAATATTAAAATTAGATAGATTCATTATTAAAAAAAGAGTGAAGTTTCAAATTGTTGAATTTGTATTGTTATAAAAGTATTATAAAAATAGAAACATTTAATTTAATACAATTAATCAATTCATTTATTAAAATTTTATTAAATTTTATAATTTTATTTTTGAAGATATAAACTATATAAAACGAATGAAGATGCTCCTCCTAAACTTTTAAAAATGTTAATGCTAACTCCTCTATATAGTGATTTAAGTCCTTCTTATTTTTTAATTGTTTATATGCACTGAAGAGACTAAGTATATCTTTAGGTAGACCCAGAGGACATTATCATTCTGCTACTTATGGTGTAAAAAGGATATGTTAATAGCTAAGATAAAAATTGTATACTCCATCCTAACAAAAACTGCATTTGAATAAAATTTATTGCATTATCATCTAAAGTGTATTTATTTGTTATTTCAGACAAAGCAAAAAAGAGGCCTCTATAAAAAAACATACCAAAACAGGAGATTCCATAACCTCTGTAAAGCCCATTAGGCCCTTCCTTTATGAGAGTTTATTTGCAAACATCAGTTATACTTAGGTATTATTTTTTTTAAGTATTTATAATAAATTTATCATTTGTAAGTTTAATCCTAGCTACTTCTAGAGGATACCAAAGAGACATTACAATGCATCCTGATATTCCACCAAATAAAACATTTTATAAAAATTATTAAAAGTGTGATTAACTTTTCTCTTAGAAGTTGAAAAA